GATCCCGTTCGTTCTCCGCACGTTAAGTCTTCGACCGGCGGACTAGTAGTCAGGTGGGTGACCACTGGCGAATCCCCGCTGTTGTATGTTTTTTGCTTTAGTTTTTTGCTTTCTGACACGGGTCATGTGGAAGATGTTAGGCGAGCATTCGGTCAGATATGTCCATTCCAATTTGACATAAGAGCACTGGTATTGAGAAGGCGATGCGTAGCTATTCCTGTCTTTTGTTTTTTAAGTGCAAGAAGAAGACACTGTTCAGCTTATTTCTTACCTGCAAAAGGTTTTGCCTCTGGGTTTGTAGGCTGCTTTTATTTTTGGATACTATACTAGTAGAAGACGTTCTCACTGTCAGTATATAGGCGCTTTTAGTAGAGCCTCCTAGAACTAATTACAGCGTACCTCACCTTGTAGCACAAGCTCCCGAAGCAAAGTCAATACACAACCAAAACTGTAATTTGGAAAGATCCTGTTACCTAGATACAGCCCAAATGTGACGTGTGTATTGGGCGTTGACTATGCATACATTTTATGCAATGACGTTCCATGACGACTCTAACAAATACTCACCCCACCATCACTTCCCATAACATTTAAACTGTTTCTGAATATCCGTACATCTCCTTCCGAGAATATCTTCACAGAAAACAAATATCCGAATCAATTTCTTCCATAACCTTATCCTAAGCCAATCACACAGACATCCCCCACTAAGCATCCAACATGAGCGACGACAATAGCCCCGTCACCGCGTACCCCGCGACGTCAATCACGGCGCAAAACCAAGAAGGTGGCCCTGGCCTCGATGCCAAAATGGAGCAAAAAGCAGAATGGTCACGTCTCGAATTCTGGGACGATGATCAGAAGCCGTATCTCAAAGAATACGAAGGCCGCGGCCTGCTCCAAGGCAAAGCAGCGCTAATCACTGGCGGCGACTCTGGCATCGGACGTGCAGTTGCCATTTTGTTTGCAAGAGAAGGCGCAGATGTAAGCATTGTGTATCTGCCCGAGGAAGAGGAAGACGCACAGTATGTCAAGAAGAGGGTTGAAGAGGCAGGCCGCAAAGCCAACCTCATGCAACTCAACCTGCGGGAGCGCAAGAATTGCGAGCAAGCCGTCGAGCAGCACATGAAGGCATTCGGAAAGCTGAACGTGCTAGTCAATAATGGTGGGGTTTTCTTTTTCCCTTTACTCTATGCATTCAAAAGCTTGCCAAAGAAGAATATGCTGCTAACTGCTGAAAAATAAAACAGCCGCAATGCAAGAAATGGTTACCGACATTACCGAAATCGATCTTGATGTCACAGAAAAGACTTTCCAGACAAACGTCATTTCCATGTTCGCAATGAGCAAGTACGCACTCAAGCATATGAAGCGTGGCGACTGCATTGTCAATAGCACAAGTGTCGCTGCATACATGTCTAATCCCACACTCCTCGACTACGCATCTACCAAAGGCGCAATCGCAACCTTCACCAGGGGTCTGGCGCAGCAGCAAGCACCCAATGGAATCAGAGTCAATGCAGTCGCACCTGGAATCATGTAAGTTCTTCACCCTAACTTCATACACACTCCTACCATCTTCTTCTTCTTCTTCTTCTTTTTCTTTTTTTCTAAGCAATGACACTGATTACTCATAACAGATGGACCCCTCTCCAACCAGCCACCAAGGCGAACCCTGCAGATGCCATGGAGTCACTGGGAGTGGGCGCTTGTCCGCTAAATCGGCCAGGCATGCCTGTTGAGATGGCCACGTGCTATGTGCATCTTGCGTCGCCGTTGGGATCGTACTGCACGGGTGAGGTATTGCATGGCTCGGGCGGCATAGAGATGCAGGGGTAGGGGGCTGAGGAAAAGCAAAGACCATGATTGTACAAGAGGGATAACATCATTATGACAGTGAGATGGTGTACGAGATCAAAGTTATGAAATGTAATTGATGGATGCGTGGTTTTCGTGTGGAACGAACAATCAAGCTCTTCTACAAGTCACATATTCCATATTCTCGTGTGCCTTTATCTACGTTATTAAAAGAAAACATAGCTGACTACAAGACCAAAAACTGCCAAATAATTAAGTGTATTTTGAAGTGGCAAGATATAGTGTTTTGGCTCAGAAAAGGGTGCACCAGTCAAGCTATTCAGCGATCCTTGTAAAGAGTAACAGTGTCTCAGCCGGGACGGGCACCAAAAACGGACGATATATCAAAACAGTATGGTACAAGTCCATCTATCTCGGAACTGCGGGAGGTGGGTACGGGTGACGATTACACCCCAAAGGTCGGAATTCAAAACCACCAAAACTAAAACCCAAATTTGCAAACTACAAGCACTAAAACCTAAATTAAAACACTATACTTAGTAGATCCCTGTGTTTAGACCATAAGAATTAAGCTCTAATTTTCTAAACAATATATATATTAGCTCTTACTGCTAAATAAATGTCTAGGAAGGTTAGTACTGTTAGTTTACGCATTACATAGCAATTACTTTAGCTATTATAGTAGGAAATAAGATAAGTTAGAAAGAACAAAACCGAATAACTCCTAGGTACATACGCAGCTATTGCAGCAGCTGTAATGGTCTGATATACTACCTCGTAAAACAAAAGCGCTAGACACGTTACTACGCCTTGCCAGTCATGATATTCTGGCAAACGGTGTGATAACCGCCCATCGTGCTCGTCACGCGAATGACATGTTCAATGTCCTTTTTCATGATAGTGACGCGCTTAGCATAGATTGCAGCTAAGTTCGTGGCTATGGCAAAATGTTAGACTATTACATGAAGTATTAAATTAACAACATACCTTCGAATAGAGTAACAAGAAAGGCCTCTGCAGCCTCCTGGAGGATGTTTATCGCCTCGCGCCGCCACTTAAGCTCCCTAAGTACATCACTACAAACTTCTCGGACGAGCCTGGTAAATACGGCAGTGGGGATAAGCGTTCCAGTTGTTTTCTAATGATGTCTAATCTGTCTAAGAGCCGCAGTTATTAAACTTAGTACGTAGTAAAGTATACTAGAATTAAACACTTACTGCCATACTTCGTCCTGCGCGTGGATCGTTAACCATTAGCTGGGACTGAAACGCCCTTGAATCTAGGGGCACGTTGCGCTTAGTACGAGTAGTAAATTGACTTCCGAGCTGGCTTAGCTGTATATTGTTAGTACAATAGAGGGTAAGGGGTTATTACATTGACCATTACGAGTTGCATTCTCGTCCTAGCTGTCTTCTTCATCTTCAGTGTCATTGTCATGGCCTAGAGCTAGGTTGAGTTAGTGAAGTATAATAGAGGAGGCTATTACAGCGGCTATTACCTTTACGGGCTCGGGAAGCAGCATCGCTACGGGAGACTTTACGACCTTGAGTAGAACTATCTGGCTTGGCTGGGCCTTTACGAGGCACTGGTCGTGCAGGCTTCTTGGCGGGTTCCTTCGCAGCAGGCTTGTTCTTGGCCGGCTTCTTCTCAACGGGCTTCTTCTGGCTAGTTTCTTCGTGGTGTTTACGTTTCGTTGTAGTAGCTCCGCTAATATCTTCGCTATTATCTTGAGTAATTTTACGGAGTTTTGATGGGCGACGATTGTGGGTATCGATCTTGAGTGGATCAAGATGAGTGAATGACTTCCCACCACTTGTAGGACGACCTTGATCTCGCTCTGGAGAAAGCGTAGCGTCGCGCGGGCCAGTGTCTATTATACGTCAGTTTAGATATTACATCGGCTCATACATATACCTACACTTATTAAAATCAAGGTCCATGGCATCGTTTGTATTGCTGTTTGATTCATGAATATTGTCTACTAATCAAGTTAACAGGGCTATTGAATTGACTATTACATTTACATACCTGACACTGGAAGTGGCGGCAATTGATCAATTTCTATGCTTGAATGGCTGCCGCTGCTGTTGCCGTCGTTGCTGTCGTTGGCGTCGTTACCTTCGACATGAACGGTGCCGTTACCGTTGCAGTTGTCTTCCTTATCGCTATGGGGACTATTGCCATGGGGGCTATTGCTAACTTCAGATACTAATATTAGTTAATAAGGCTTTTACGAAGGCCATTGTATATACTTACAGCTGTTGAAGTCCATATCTAGTAGAGTGGCAGAATTGGTAGAGTGGCAGAATTGATAGAGTGGCAGAATTGATGGAGTGGCAGATGTGGTAGCGTAGTAGAGGTAGTGGGGCGGGGACTGATTTAGCCTTTAGGCAGCACGTGAAAGTGAAAGTGAAAGTGAAGGTGAGTAAAAGTGGGACCGCCTGTATCACCTATTTTCTTAGGTCCATGGTTGAGGGTTTGAACGTTTGAACTCTGCGCAACTTCAGTAGCCGCGATAGGGGTAGATAGAGTGGCATGTTCAGTATTATACTATGAATCCCACGATACCAACTTCCCAACACCTACTCATTCACCAGCTGCCCCAACTCCAAGAAACAGCGGCATAAAACGCCAACCCATGCATTTCCCTTCGCGAGCAATATTTCTCGCTTCAAAATCCAAGCAACGCAAAACTAACCACCCTTCTTCATCTCCTCTACACCCTTCCCGTGCCGTACATGACCGTCATCCATCGCATCCGGCATATCGAAATCAGAGAATGATGCCTTATTCTGCAACTTCTGGGCATCAACATCCATAGCATCGTCGCTTCTGCCTACAGTCTCGCTACTCGCATTGCTGCGTTGAGAAACCGCGGGGCGGGCGGGATTAGGCTGGGTCGCAGCACCAGAAGCATCGTTGTCATCTTCGACCTCTGTGTTTGGGGTCAAAGTAGCAGAACTCATGTTTGAGTCGTTGCGAGCGTGATTATGGAGTTCCTTGGTGGAGATTTGGTTCCATTCGTTGTTGTCGGTGGGAAGAGTGTCTTCGACCCAATCGCCTACGGGAGGCTTGTCCCACCGCGCTGTGCTGTTGTCCCAGCTTGTCTGGCCGGCATTTTCGTAATCGTTGTAACCCTCCCAACCTGTTGCATTCTTTTGCAACTCCTCCAAAAAGTTGAGATTGTCGCGCTTGACGAAATCGAGGAGGGGCTTTGCCAGTGGTATGGGCTCGACTGACATGGCGTCGTCGTTGGCATAGACGAGAAGTGCCGAAGCAGATTCGGTAGTCGCTCGCTCAATGACTTCTTGCAGTGTCAGGCGGTCTCGCCTTATTATCGGATTCGAGGATTCAGAGTCGTACTGCATTCGCCACCACTGCATTGCGCCTGGAACATCGGATTGAATGTCTGGGTGTCGCACATAGACTACGTCACGGCGAGTGGCCACGCCATGGAGATGGTATGGGTAGTGCATGGCATCCTCTGGTGTCTGGCCCTCTGGGAAGTCCACTTTGACCGGCTCTACACACTCTGTTGCAGCCTTTCCAGCCGCACCATCTGTAGCGTCCCCAGTATCGTCATCTGTAGCACCATCGTCTACGCGGGGCTTGAATCTTCCAGAGATACTGACAATCATGTTCTTCGTATAATCGGTCTGCTTCTCAAGAGTCGCAAGCTTGTCCTCGATACTTTTGTAGAGATCCTGAAGCTGAGATAAGACCAATGCGTCCTCGGGTGAATCATCTCCCTCGGGATGTTCATATGTAGTCATACTGGTTCGCAGCAGTGGCAGTGATTCCACTCTCTTGGCACCAGCCTTCTTTGGAGTGTAGTATTTCAGCTTCTCCAACTGCTCGTGAATGGAATTCAGCTGCTCCTCATGCTTTCTGATATCGCTATACATGCTATCGATGATATGCTTATTCTTCTCGAGGTAGCGGTCGACATAGAGAGTGGCTGGTACACGACATCCAAGATCGGACGCCTCTGTATTTGACGAGGTCAGGCGGATAATGAGCACATGGCTGGCGTCGCGTATGTGCGCGCTTCCGACTGCCGAGGAAAAGAGTGTGTCATCGAGGACATCATATAAGCTGAAGTCGGGCCTAGACTGATCTCGTGTGACAGTGGTGTCGAGCGCAAAGCTTTCTTGTGTTGTTCCCGCGACATTGACAGTGGAACGAAGAAGACCGTTCAATTCAACATTCGGTACATGACTCTGTACTGCAAAACCCCACATGACCAGGAACTTAAGCAAGTCATCGTCAGGATCCTCGACAGCAGACTGATTTTCTGCCCAAGCCTCGGTCTGCAATAAGGCATTCACTGATCCGTAGATTCTGTCCGTGTTGTCGAGGAAAGCCATGAGACGCTGTGCCTCGTGGATAATCTCCAAGTTGTGAACTTCTGAACGGCCTATGCTATCATCGAATATGCGCCCAGTCTCGGTTGGATTGCCTCTCCACCAATCCTCGCCTATCCAATAGTCATCTTGTAGTATGCCGGGGCATAGGAGCGCATTCCGAAATAGTGGTATTGAATGTATGATGGGAATAAGACTGGATAGATAGTTGAAGTTGGACGACGGCTTGAGGATAGCAGGTTGACCTTGTTCGCGCTTTCTCTGGACAGGTATTGGGTCGGCAATGATCTCGGTGGCTGTGGGTACCAAGGCCCATTGAGAGGTATCGTAATTATCTCCAGTAGCTGGCCTGAAGTTGGAATTTGAGCCGATGACTCCACTCTCTTGGTCTTCTATGCCTGTCTCTCAGTCAGTACGGTCAATTTACGGCGTAGTATCGAGCACGATAGACTGACTCTGCATTGGGGCGTCACCGGCCTGGGCCTGGTTAGAGGCGATGCTGGTCCGAGAAGGCGGGCGCGTGGGTGCTCTGCTGTTGACATTGCTGTGGGGGTAGTTGTCATGTCCTGGAGCGTAGTCAATATTGAAACCTGACACACGCGCATGTCAGCCACGTTATCTCTCGACGTGTTGTGTAGCCCAGGCCAACGTACTGGGAACGGTTGCATCGTCGGCGCCGTACATGGCACCTCCAAAAGCAGTCTCATCCCACTTGGGCTGCGAGTTGCGCAGATGCGATTTCAGTACCGAGATGCCGCCTTGTTGCTCCATGCTGCTGAAGTATTTGTCCATGGCGGCTTCGACACTGTTGCCATGATTCTACAAAATACGGTTAGCCCATGCTCACAAGGCGCGGGCGATGTGCTTGAGCGGGGTGCCTTTCGTACCGCGAGTAGCTGTCTGGCCTCGCTTCTGTCCAGCTGGTCGGCACCGAAGCTGAGCAGGAGGTCGATGTTGGCCTCCACATCTGCCGCCTCCATGGTGGCGGTGGTCTGACCAGGTGTGGTGGAGTGGGGGTTCAGAGGTGTTGGTTGCGCAGGGTGCCTGGTAAAGGTCTTTGGGCGGGAGCGGGAGCGGGACGGCAGGCAAGCTGGCGCAAACGCGTTTGGCAGCGGCACCGGCCTATACACATCAAAGAGACGGGCTTGGACTGGCAATATGCGGAGAAGGCGCGCTTGTGTCGTGTCTGGCGGCAGTCATGGCGGGGAGCGTGAGGCGTGAGCTTTGCGGAGCATAGGGCGGAGCTTTCACGTCGCCAATTGCGGGCGGAAGAGCAGGGATGCTGTGCACCGTTGACCATTATTGCGTCACACATGCACCTAACGGCCAATGCCGCACATGGCCCCAACCTTGCACAAACCTCTGCATGTTTCCCGCTTCGTAGCTTTTGTTCTATTGTACATTTATCTTACATGGCAGTCCTGAAGCGTACACTCGTATCTTCACATTCCTTTGCGCCCTTCGTGGAATAGTGAATGATTCCTTGGCCATGTAACAGCAATGGCTGCCAACATGACGGAGAAGTTGAGCACACCACCCAATACCTCTTCATTTTTCTCTTGTTTGCCCCAGACTCTATCGTTGCTTCATTCAACCTTTGTAGTCTCCTCCGTCTTTTCTGTCGCTGCTTCATCATGTTCGCATGCAGCATCGGAGCCAGGTCCGAGTGGCCGGAACACCTGCACTCCCTTTGATTCGTTAAGCTGATCTTGCTCCATTCTCCATTGTCGCCCGCGGTGGCTGAACCTTGAGATCAGGTCGCGATAGGGCTTGAGCTTCTTGTCCGCCTCCTCTTCGTCCAGCCCAATCAGTTGACGCCGCCGCTCCTTCAGCGCGTTGTACAGCCTCCAGCGAGCATTCTCTGGAATCTCCTTGATGTGGTACTCAACCTTCCAGTCGTCTTGTTCTGTAAAGTTGACGGGCCTCTCCACGTAGCCCCCGTTCACTAAATTACGGACGCTCAATGTCCACCCCATCAATGGTCCTTCCGAGTTCGAGGTAGGTTCGGGTACATCTTCTACATCTCCTACGCTTTCCTCATCTCCATCATTGGTAGACTCCTCGGCAGTCTCATTGGCAGTCTCATCGGCAGTCTCCTCAGCGGTCTCCTCAATAGGCTCTTTGGAAACTTGTTCGGACGCATCCTTGGAAGCATCAAGTGCTTCTTGTTGAGACGCATCGGCCTCGCTACTCTCGGCTATTGAGATGATCTTCTCATCCTCACTGATTTGCTCGTCAACATCGTCTTGGATGTCTTGCCAAGCTTCTTGACTTCTCCGGTCGTCTTCTGGTATACCCACAATATCCCGTGCGAAGTCTTGTTGAGCAGTTTCTCCTGCCTGTTGAATCTCGTCCGCCTGCTCCTCGGTGACGGGCTCAGCAAATATATACATGAAGGGCGTCTTGCCTTCGCGTGCTTCAAAATGCATCCTCAAAGACTATGTTCGAGTTAGTAACTGACTCTAAGTATGAAGTGGATAAAAGTAGCTTACTGTATCCGGGAATTGAGCAGTAGCCTTGGTTAGAATTTCATCAACCAGGCTGATAGAGACTTTGAACTCCTCGTCTCCCAAGGATGTGTCGTGCTGTCCATGAAGAACAGCATCCATGTCTGATAAGCTCAGATACTGAAAGCCAAAGATGCGCTCAATGTTGTGAAAGGCGACGAAAATGCCATCCATTCGCCCCATCCGGACTTGCAGTGAGTACTTGAGCAGCGTAGCACGTGTCATGTCGTAGAACTCACGCTCAAAAGACTCCCACTCACCCAAAGCATGTCGTAGCTGGTAACCCGAACCTTCTTCAAATTCTTTGTGGTTCATGCGGATTGAAACAACAGCCCTCGTCTTCAAATCGAAAACACCGGTTCCGGGGAGTCGAGGGTCGACTGCATCCAGTTGGGACCGCATCATAATGTTGCCTTGCTTCGAGTAGTGGTAGCAACGGCTGGAATTATCCTCTGCAGGTGCCTGCTCAGGGTTCGATCTACGATATCTTTCGAACTCGCTTCGCTCGGTCGTGAGCAACTTCTCCAGGGAATGGCCAAGCCAACTCATAATGTTGGGTCTGTCGTAGGACTTGTCTGCGTCAATTGCATAGATGCCGTCCTTGTGTCTCAGAAAGACAGTACTGGGACCGAGAGTGATTTTTGAAAAATTCGGCGACGGATCTGGGAACTGTCGTGAGAGCATGTCGTGGTTGAGCTTTCGAAAGTTGGACAGAACGAAATGGAAGTGCTGCAGGATGCCCGACATGCTGGATGTGGAGCCGGTGAACTTTGCGCCAATGTCCTTGGTCAAGGCGAGCAAGTCTTTGTCCTTGGAGGAAGTCTTGTACTCGCTCAAGGCTTTGAAATCAAACTCGTGGGCTGGCATGATCCTCTCCAGGTAGGGGTCGAAGTTGTACACTCTTGACCGTGGGTCCTGCAGTCGGTACACGCCAGGGTTGAAAAGCACGCGGTCAAGTCCATATGCCAGCATGGGGACAGGCGGCTTACCCACTGGCACAGGCTCGAATTTGAGCTCGCTGGTCTGAATTGAGCTTATGTTCAGCTTCTCACGTTCTTCGGCCTTCAGTCTGGGCCTCCCAGGCTTGCGACCAAGGAGTGCGTCTTTGAGAGATATGCCAATATCATCGCCATGCTTGTCCGCCGCCCCATCCTCGGTCTCTTCTGTCTCACTGGCATTCTTTGACTTTTTGCTAGCCTTTGCAGCCTTTTTAGCCTTTGCAGACTTTGCGGCTTTCTTAGTCACATCTCGCTTCAGCACAACAGCAGTGGCGCTGAAGGGCTGGCGCAGAAGCGGGCGCGGCAGGCTTTGGGCAGCGCAAAAGAGACATGCATGGTTCCAGTGCCGTGGCGAGGCTCGCACCAGCTGGCGACTCAGCATTGGAAGGTGTTGGCGGAGTGAAGACTGAGGGCGGCGGTTTGGATGAGCGGCGACAGTGACGCTTCGACATTTTCAGAAATTACATCGGCGTTTTGTTTTGTTAACGCCGGGCAATCGCCTATCAGGGCCGTCACGTGACGCATAGGAGCAACATTCAGGACGCGCGGAGAGGGCACCAGAGACCCACCCACTTCCGCCATTGGGCGCATGTCTTGCAGACCGTAGGACTACTACCTACGTAGACAGAACCCCGTCGACTTCGCGTCCCCCTTGTTCTCCTTCTTTGCCGGTGCAGGGCGTCCTGCTTGTACGTATCTTTGTCGCGTCTGAGGCGTGAGCAGGCTGCCGGTCCCCCCCTCGTTCAGACAGACGTAAGGCATCATCATCCCCGGAAACCCTCATGCCATATGCGCCCACCTACCGCACATGAATAATGGGACATCGCCATTGCAATTGCACCACCACCGCCAACGCCGTCCCACTAAAAATACGGGCCTGACGTCTGCACTGCGACTGCCGCCCCGTAACCAGCCCGCTATTGTTGTTGTTGTTGTTATTGTTATTGTCTTCTTACTTCTTCGCGCATGCGCCTGCGTCTGCATGTTCATTGGCTACGCCTCGACACTCAGTCCCAACTCCGCTCTTCTGGCTCACCCTCCGCACGCCGACTCTTTCTAACCTAGCTACCCACGCGCATCCGTTGCTTCTTCCGCCGAGGGCTGCTCTACTTTCTGTATGCGACAGTCGCGCCGCTGAGCTCGTACTGGGCTGTGCGCGCAAACCTGCAACCCCGGAATGTCCAAAGACAAACGGCGGAGCATCTTCGGTCGCAGCTCTCTCAATGTCCTCACCTCCCAGAGCAGCAAAGACGACACCCAACCCTCGAATCTGCTGCGGAAGCGCCGCACCGCCTCCTTCATTTCAAATCTCTCCGACGTATCACAGCATGCAGAACCGTTCACTATCAACGGCTCCATGGGAGCCAGCTCCAACCCCCCAGAACCGCCTGATTCAGCCCGATCCAATCTTTCCAAGAGCCAGCTGAAGCGTGCCAGCTCCGTCTTCAGTTCCTTTCGTGGCTACAAACTTCCCGGCGACGACGAACCCGAGCCCCTCTCGGCATCCTCGACGCGGAATTCGACTATTTTTGGAGAATACCTGTTCGAAGATGTGAACAATCTTCAGGTCTTGCACCATGGAGAGGTGCAGACGAGCAGTTCCATGTTCAGGAAGAAGAAGGAATATTTGGTACTGACCGAGAAGCATCTAATCCGCTTCAAGAGCCAGTCCAAAGCAGCCGAGGCTTTTATCGAATGCGCCCCAGTGCACTTGATTCCAGGCGATGGAACTGAGTATCGTAAGGTCCCATCTTCGCATCGCTTGAGTACATACAGACACAGCCACAGCCCCTCGATTGGATCAACACATGAGCTGCAGTCCCTAGCCTCAGAATCGTCTGGTGATCGTCATCAAGGAATTCCCCTGCGCCACATTGTTGCCGCATACCACTTAGACGACGGACGCCCGCACTTCGCCCTCGAGCTGTATTACCTGGATGACGAGTCCAACCATGCCTCTTCCATGACTCTCCAATTCGGCGATCCCGAAGACATGTTTGCTTGGCTCAAGATCATAAGACATGCCGCCAATGCAGCCCGACTCTGTGATGCAAAGCCCATCTCTGCACATAACTCCCACCTGGCTGCGCGCGTCGTAGAAGCAGAGCGTGACTATGTGCCTCCACACTATGCCATATACAAAGTTGTCCTCAGGCCCCAAGGGAAAACCACGGCTAGGTCTTCGTCTGATGACCTGACAAAGGCATCTGCTTCAGTATGTTTTCTTGCAATTGGCGTGCACAAAGTACACATCATCCCGCTGTTTAAGCCGCCTTCGCAACGATCTTCCAGTCCATCCTTGGTGTCCCAAAACACACAATTGTCACATGGTATCCTGACCCTGACTGAAGTTCGCGTCAACGAGATTGATGACACTTTCCAGTTGACCTTCAGGTACGTGCTCAAATGCCTGCAGCTAGAGCAACTCTGACAGCATGCAGAAAACCTCTAGAAAGACCAAAAGTGCTTCAACTGGCGTCGCTTGCCTCGCGAGACATAGCTGTTCGCCTACAATATGTTGAATCTAGTCTAAGACCGGAATGGGAGACACGCCCATTGGATTTTCTAGTCCCCGAGGAGGTGCACCAAGACATTGTACGACAGGAGAGCCCACATCCTATGGACCCTGACTCTCTGGATCGCACTTTGATAGGTTATTGCATCGCTTATGACGTACAGCCAGAGAACATTAGCTATCAGATTACATATCCACCAGAAGACTCTCCGCGGTTCGAGCTCCTCCCACCCAGCTCCCGGAGAACTCAGTATACTACACTTGAACTCCTTGCTGTAATGCGTGCCCTCAGATACAACGAGACGTTTGCTGGAATCTCATTCAAAGATGTACACCTTGACATTTTGAATGGACTCAAAGACCCAAATGGCGCAGAGCATCTTTGTCTTAAGACCAAACGTGGCACGTACGCGCGCTTGGATATCGAAGAATTAGAGCGATCTTGTCTATTGGTTCAGGAGATCCGCGCATTGGCTCTGACGAATCGGAAGCTTCGAAGAATGGACTTTTCGGGCTGTATCACGCGGAAGCCCAGTGACCACGGAGAATCCAGAGGTAGTGCGAGAGACCAGGGCTGCGCCATCGTAGAAGCGCTGTTTCCGCTGTGCAAATACCAAACAACGAATGTCGATTGGATAGCTCTGAACAGAATACAGTTGGGGGATACAGACTTGGATTATCTCGTCGCTGCGGGTGTCGAGCGAGCTTGCCATCTAAGAGGACTGGAATTGAGCGGGTGTGGTCTTACAGACCGTGCATTGTCTCTTGTCCTAGACGCATTACGTGCGCAAGAAACCACGCTAGAAGCCATCGATCTCTCGTCCAATCCTTTCCGCCTTTCACCAAGCATTTTCGACTCTCAAATCGGCGTGTTTGGCTATCTCACACGACTGAACCTCTCACATCTTGCGCGATCGTCTGGCCTTGAATCCCTAATATCCGTCGAGACTTTCCAAGGCTGGAGATTACAAGAGCTGATCCTTAGCGGAACATCGCTCAATGCGGCTACCGTCGACGCCATCGCCGGTTACCTTTCTAACTACAAACGGTCTTCAGCCCTTCGCGAGATAAAGTTGGATCATTGCTTTCTTACTGGAAGGGACATTGCTTTTCTTCTCCACGCAATGACCGAACACCCAGGCAAAGCTCGCGACCTCCATCTTGATGTCAGCGAGAACAGAATCGAGGAAGACCTGGATGCATTAACAAAAGCTATCGCTAATGGTCTCGCTCCGTCGAGTTTCACTCTCCGTTTGCTTGAGTTTGAAGAAGACGCCGACTTTCGGAAGATGATACTCGCTTTAGCCGCCAATAACACCATTCGACAACTGGACATCTCGCGAGCATCTCTACCATGTGACGCTTCAGAAGAGACGTGCCAGGCATTAGAGAAGATGTTTGCTGATAACAAAAGCCTTGAGTGGCTCGATATTTCTGGTGAAGACTCTCGCCTTGAAACGACCAAACTAGGCGTCGGTATCAACCGAGCGTTGCGAGGACTTCAGCGCAACAAAACGTTGCGTGCTTTGTACATCAGGTGTAAGTTTATGGTCTTGAGTATAGAATGGTCTAGAAACTAACAGTATTAGATCAAAAGCTGGGCGTACAAGGCGCGAGTACCCTTGCGGATGTGCTCAAGGTCAACAATACCCTGCAATACCTATACTGTGAGGACAACGGCATTGCCTTGACTGGCTTCACGGATCTTGTTAATGCGCTTCATCGAAACACCACCCTCCTATATCTTCCATCCATGCATGAGTCCCGCCAAATGGCGCTTAAGCAAACAGAAGATCAAGTCAAATCAATGCGTGACGATTTGCCAACAAACAATCAATCAAAATCATCCTCTGTTCGCAGCAGAATCGCAAACAGAGTGGTCAGCAAGAATCCAAAAGAGCCCAATTACCCGACAGGTCTGTCAGATCAAGACATCAAGGCCGCGCTGGGGCTGGTTGACGAGAGTTGGGCTAGGCAAGAATATCGTCTGCAGCAGTACTTGACACGCAATTACAACATCGCGCACGGCATACCAACAGCCATGGATGTCGATGAGGAAGAATTCGAAAGGCCGGGTACGGCAAACAGTTTAGGCAAGATCCTTGAAAAAGTTACTATCGAGAGCACTCCTACTGCAGAGAAGGATCTACAGCTCGGCAGCCTACTTCCGGAAACAACTACGACGCCGATGATAGACATTGATTATGACAGTACACCTTTGGAAAAAGAGCTCGAAATGTCTTTTGGCAATACACCAGTCGGCTTTCCATTCTCAAAATAGTCGGATAGTCAACTTTAATCACACCTAATCGTGATTGGGCCTCTTTTTTTTTACCGCTTCTCGCCCATCATCACTCTATCGTTGCAAAACTTGTTTGCAATCGCTTTCTTCGCCTGTATATATGGACTTATTTTGCATATACCTCCCTTGACAGAGGTTATTCGGCGTTTGTTTTCTACCACAGGTAGCTGACGATTTTGGAATTCTGGTCATTTGGCGAAGAAATCGTCTGGTCTGGATAATTTATACTTCTTGAGTACATGCATGTTCAAGGCTTAGGCTCATCTCTGGACGGCTGTTTTTCGTCTTCAAAGATACCATTTAGATTATTATAACCTAGGTTGAAATTTCGGACTCTTCTCAAGAAAAATGCTCCAGTTTGAGTCTTTTCATTGAAACCCAAATGTAATCAACTCATAGGTTTATTGCAGGTCTGAAATGTAGTCAGTTCAGATCTGAACATTGTGCATTTCCATCTGCGATCGCACTGCGTGGGGTACACCCCACTAAACAAGCTCATAATTGATATGTCCGAGCTCCGGCCGAAAATGTACGTTGACGACATCATTTCGCTCGGAACGAGTCAATTGAACCTCACACCATCAAACCCAAAACAACAGACGAACCAATTGCAACCCCGAGACAAGATTACGAATTCTTCATCCTCTTATGGTAATTCGGCCAAGAAGATGGTCAGACAACATGGCAGTTTAGAGAAAGATGAAGAGACGAATCAGGCGGCGTGGGAGGCGGCGCGTGGTGCGCTAGTCGGCGGTACAAAGGTATGAGATGGCGCTCGCGTGGGTTGTATCTATTACACCTTTTCCTTTCCTTTACCGCTAGTTTAGGAGTTTGATTCAGTACTGGAAGCAAGAGAAGGGAAGTGATAGCAAAAGAGCTAGCTGTTGGCGCATGAGCAAGTCTCACGTGAGTCCCTAAGATTGGAAGATACAATGACTGCACATTTAATGGTCATGTCGATTGAGCACTTTCGTACTTGACCTGAATTTCTACCGAGATTTCCGTGCCATATCAGAAACATAACGCTAACTTTCATACAACCAGTGGGGTGCTTTCTTCGCTGTAGCAGGCGGTGTCGCATACGCATTTTCTCCCCTCTACCGTGGTCTGACTGTCCAATTCAAAACGTAGGACTCTACTACTTCTGTCTTACATTGCATGTCACTCTAAATTCAATGATTGCTAATCCATGGACTAGATACATACAAATGTCTGGCATGATACTAGGCGGCATGCTCGAAGCAGACAAGCGCATGGTGAGTTACCAGCATCGTATTAGACATCATAAGAGGCTGGCAAGGGATATGGAGATTTGGAGACGGTACGAGGATACGTATGAGGAGAGGGGGACGCCGGGAGTGGGAGCGGAGAGCGATGTGCACGGACCAGATGGGAAAAGTGCATAGGGCCGCATGTTGGAGGATATTGTGAGCCAGAATAGAGACCAGGGAAGGTCGTTCTGCTGTACGATATCAGGCGTCTATTCATTGTCCATACATGGAATGGGTGCGTTACATACATGCTTCCGTCTCAGGGCTCTTCTTCTAGATGATTCCAGGATTTCGTAACAGGACAAACCATGCAATTATTCTGCTAATAGGAAGTCTCAAAAGAAACATGGCTAGCACTGTTTTAGCACCGAATCCACATCGATGCCCAAAAATTTGCGAATATTCCATATAGTATGGAGCAATAACATTGCTGCGTCGGCGTGATGCGGAGTTAACGGACCAATGATGTGCTTTGTTCTGCGGAGGCAAGGCTGACGTAAGGTCTCTCCACCTACGGCGCGCCGCTTTCTTCAAAAGCCACCTTGCGAATTCGCTTCGTCTGGTTCTTTAGGCAGCCCTCCCGCTGTTCCTCGCCCACCACACTTCATTGTCGCATCTGTCTGTAGCTGCTACAGCTTCACGCAACAATGGACGTTTTTTGGACGCTCCCACCTGTCTCTAGGTAAGCTTCTTTCTTCCTCTTCGTGTAGCTTTGAAAGTTTCGCATCTAACAGCTTCCCGTAGAACCATTACAGCTGCAGCTGTCGTCGTGTCGGCGCTGGGTTATGGTGGCATCCTCAACCTCTACCATGTCGTCTTCGCTACTCAATATGTCTTCACTACCAAGATGATCCCGCAGCTCTGGCGACTCTTCTCTGCGTTTCTCCTCACGAAACCGAAGTTCGGCATCCTGCTTGACCCATACTTTTTGTACCAATATGGCAGCTCTATTGAACGCGAGTCTAGCCGCTTTTCGCAGCCCGGCGACTTTTTTGTGTATACCATGTTCGTCGGCAGCGTCATTGTGGTAAGTACCTGCTCGTAGCTATTTTGCGCTCCATCGCACATACATGTGTTTGTCCATATCGCATCGACCCAAGCTGTCTGCGACGCGCCGACTACGGTCTCCATCACCTCGACATATCTGCCCGCCCAGTCAAAAAAATAATCTAGCTGAAGCGGTTCCTGGAATCGAGGAAGAATACCCTTGCACATCATGCAGTTCCGCTACAATCCAAAAGGGACTGTACGGTGTGTAGGCATGGTGGGATTGTCTCATAACGATGCGTTGCGAATTCTCTATTTCGCAAGGTTATTTGGGGCTCCCTACATACCTTTACCACTTCTTTTGCTTTGTTGAATCGCTTGTTGTGGATGTAACCTGGAATGGACTTGTGCTAACGGTCCATGTAAAGGGAACGGCAGGCTGTCTTTTAGGCTCATACACCTTCCTTCCTGCGCTATCTCTCGCATACGCATATACCTTCGGCCAGGACAACCCTACGCGATCCGTGCAATTCTTCATTCTTAACTTTGACGCCAAGTTCTTACCCTTCGCCATGCTGTTCCTTACATTCGTCATCGATGGCCCTGATGCAGCGGCTTCGCAACTGACCGGCCTCCTTGCCGCTCATCTCTACGATTTCCTCACAAGGATCTGGCCTACGTTTGGAGGTGGAACAAACTACATTCGTACCCCTCAGATTGTGAAGGGTTGGTTCAGTGCAACAGCCGGTAGTGTCCAGGATAGGGGGTACGGCCATGCTGTCCAGGGACGTGGAAGGGCGGCTGGTGCGCCTGGAAGTGGTGCACAGCCGAGCACGGGCAGGACTACAGGTGCCAACACGTCTTGGAGTGGAATGGGACCTGGTCGTAGACTGGGAGGATAGATACACGCTGAAGACGCTGTGGAATCTGTCTGTTATGAGAATTGCGATTCCAGTCTTACCTGAACAAAACTTGACATTGTATTAGTAGCATTACAATAATTATGTAAATGGAGATACTTTGCGATCTTTTGAGCTGCTCTAGAATTATGCAGATTTTACAAGCACAGTGATGGAGACGAAGCATCAAATCACCCAACACTCAACACATTCCCATCGAACTTCAAGCTTACATCTCGTTCATGATATTCGATATATTTGCCTCTTGGCTATATTTACAAATCATCTCATCATACACGTATCACTCAATCGCACACACCCTCTTTACTTTGAGCTCCCAGCCGGGTTACTGGGCCCATCAACCGCCCGCTCCACATGCCCCGCAATCCCATTCTTACTCGCATCAAACTGACTTCCAATCACACCGTCTTTGCTAAACGGACCTCCGATCGCTTGACCGATTGATCCTACCGCGCCATCTGGGTTAACTGTTTCCCTCGAATGTTAGTACATACCATTATCAAACTGAAGACGAGGATGTAAAATGGGGACAGGTGAGAAGAAGGAAGGAGAGTGATGTACAGTTCTTGCCAATTGCACCTGCAGAAGAGAGCATACTGGGGTTGTCCTGGGGAATGGCGTTTGTGGATTTGTTGGCGCCGAGTTTATCGGCTGCGGAGGTGGTGCTGTCCATCATGTTGTTTGAGCCGGAGGGGAAGGTGGATTTGGGTGTGGATTGGTTTTCGGTGCCCATGCCGAGTTGTTCCATTAGGGGCCCGGTAGACTTGGGCATTTTCCTGGTATTTGGAAGAGGGTGCTTGGGTGCTTGTTGTGGTTGGTTTTGGTTTTCAAGATGTTGGGTTTGGGTTTGGGTTTGGACTGTGGATGTGGAATGTACTTTTTGGGAGTTGAAAAGTATTATTTATATTTAAGGTAATACGTAGGTATTGTGTGAGATGTTGGGTTTGGGGCGCTTGTCGTCACTGAGAGATAGCCTTCGTGTGAGTGGGTGATGCGCTTGAGTGACAATCGTGATGTCATGACAACACTTGGATGTGAAATCATCTTTTGGAACGGGAGGAACAAATGTCAATGATGTAGTAGGCTCCTTTTAGATCGGAATCTAAACAAGTGGCTTGTAGTTCTTGAGACGTGTAGATCGTCTGTGTTGGAGATTTGTTGGGTCAGTGGGACAATGGCAGGAATGGCGTTGTGGTGGTGTCATTGGTTTGCATGTTAGGGTCATGGTGAAATTCACATGCGCATGGGGCTTGAATGGGATATTTGGAACTGCATTCCGTCATTGATTCTTTAGTTCTCGAAGCCTTTGAGGTTCGTGGTACGATGGGAGAATGGGTCGAGACTAGACGAATGGGGGATGGAGTTCCCAGAGTCTAAATGTGGATGATGTGTTAATGCGGATTCTCCGCTGTTGCATGTTCATGTAAGGAACATACAATAGCACAAGAATGAAACAAAAAAGGCAAGAGAAGCTGGAGCGCTCATTTGACGTATTGTAGCTTAAGTTGCATATTACAATTCTTCCCCTGGGGGTTTTCGCGTACGAGGAATGCAAAGTTAATTACTGTCCGAAATCACGCTACGGCCAACCACATATTCTGTACTATAATGATGGCTCGTTTAACAATTACTTTGTCTCAAAGTTCAGGATAAGTGATGTTGTATCGAGATGTTTAGAATTGGATTACTTTACTTGAACAAGATGCATAATGGTAGAATGTGAGGAAAGAACAACAGCTGCGCATATCATCTCCATAAGATCTGCGACAGTATTAGAGTACGTCTAATTCGTCATCGAATCCAGCTAGTATATTAAGCTACGTCGTACACAGCCCACGTGTATGCGTGGCAACTAGGATAGCAAATGGGTAACCCTCTACCATACCTCTACCCCTACCCTAGGTCTGTGCGACCGCTACCATACCCCTATCATACCTCTGGATAGGAGATATTAATATGCCAGCTTGTACAGCAGGAGTAGATGATCGGGCTGAAATACAAAACGAAGTCTACACTAAGTGCTTCGAGCAAAGCGCCTAGTAAGCTAGGCCGTTTGGATGGTCGAGAGATGACTAGCACATCGGTTTACTGATTGAGAAGAAATCCTAGACCGTCAAGTTGACAACAAAGAAGAGAAGAAGAAGAAGAGAGCTGTAACAAATCGACATAACTAATGCCGAGAAGACTTTCAATTAGTAATATCATCGGCACTCTTCCACATGGAAACAACAAAATGATTGAGTCCTTGATCGCATCTTGATTTGGATGACTTCAACCAAAAACACAAAATCTTCTTGTATATCTTTAAACATGTATACATTCGATGCGGTGACTAGACCCGAATAATTGTGAATAAGTACAATCACGACGCTAAAAAATTGACTATCACTACTTGCTCCTAAACCTGCCCCCAAGTTTTGGAAACGTCAACGGTAACTTGAGCTTGGCGACAAAATGATTGATACTCTCGGCCTTTGTGAGCTTCAAATTTGTGAGATCGGTCTGTGTAGGGGGTGTAAGTTTGCAACCTAGTTCAGCAAAGTATTGCTTGATCCTATCGGTAACGTCAGCGTGTGCTACAAGGTCAATCTGCAAGCAGAGCGACTTACTCCTTGTTCTCGAGTTTGAGGTCTTCGCGGAGATCATTGACGTCGACGGCTTGGTCATCGACGATGAGGGCTGCGGCTGCAATGTGGGTCATGAGATTATCGACGTTCCAGCGAGGCATTTCGGAGCTCCTAGGAAATGTTAATATCGCCACTTGTAGTTGGAGAATGGAAAACACTCACCCTTCTGGGGCAAACTTCCTTCTGATAGCCAAAACACACCCGGCTGGCGCATCCTCGCCCATGGCTGCTTCTAGCTTGCCCTTGATGGGTATCTTCTTCGGCCGAGTACCGCCTGCACCAATCAAAGCGGCGTTGAAGTTTATGCAGAGCAAAATAAAACGCAAGACCTTTAATTTTTGGATTTGCTTGTTCTTGGCAAGCTTGACGATGCGCCTTGCGACGTACTTGCTGGTGACTTCGACACCTTGGCCGGCTGCAGATGCCTGAACCCAGTCCTTTACGTCGAGCATAGTCATTAGCTCGCTGCCGACAACGGTACTGATGGGGTAGACATCGCCGGGGTATTCGGCAGCGAGATTTGGAATTGGACGTGGTTTTGAGCTGTCGACAGCCGCTGCAAGGTCTTGGCTGGTGGGCATGACACTGGTGGAGGAGGACATTTGCTTCAAAACGTTCTCGGCAACCTCGTTGGCTCCGGCACCACTCTTAATGGCGTTGAGCGTGCGGTCCTCGAGCGCCTTTCTTGACTTCTTAGATCCGAACTCAGCTGCAAGTGCAGCTCTCTTTGCCATGATTGTATTGTTCTGGGCCTCGAGCGCTTCCTGCTCTTGGCGCATCTCTTCGACTTCGCTTCGCAGTGTGCTTCGGACAACGACTCTCTTGACGGGGACAATCTGCAGCTTGCTTGTCGCCGGATCGTAGACACCAACATAGTCTTGCAGCTGGCTCTCAGAGCTGCCATCGCACTCTTCCTGTGCGATATAGTCGAGGCGAGGATGATCAGAAGACTGGAAGAGCAGTTCGGTACTTTCGCCTTGTGGGAGGACCTTTGTGCGCTTGTATGGGGCGAATGAGAGTTTGGGGGGAACTGCAAGACCAGGAGTGACAGCTTTGGAAAGTCAGCGGGAAACGGCAGACACTGTGGGCAACGGCGCAGGTATTGCGACAAGCTGGGGAGGCAGTCACATACCGAGCAATGGGCCCAGCGTCTCTTTGCTCTCGACCATGTCGACACGGACATTGCCCTGGGGCGCAACGACGGCCTTCTTCTTGGGCCGGTCGCCGTTCTCAGCGTGTCTCTTTCTCTTCTTGTCGCTCATGTCGTCGGTGCGGGCGCGATATGGGAGGGCGTGTCGCGCCATGTCAAAAAGTTCGACCTTGAATTGGCAGAATGCCGGGGCGGTGAGGAGAAAGATGGTAGGCGAGCGACAAGGGTGTCGACTAGTAGCGCGGATGGCATGACGTACGCGCGAATCACGCGTCCCGGCCCTCTTCACTGCCGCATGTCCCAAACGCCATTGTTGTGGCCAGCCATCCTGGCGCTGCCCTATTTGGATCCATCAATTGTTGCAACTGGCTCCGACGGTAACGGCGTGCCGTGTAAATAGGCAATTCCAACTGTGCTTTCATCCCTCCTTCTCCCTCGAGTGACCACATCATCCGTCTCCATTGCTTCTTTGTCCCCTGCTAATCTCCTCTCCTCGCCTCGCCTCTCCTCTCCATCCATTTCCCCACCCCCGCAATGCCTTCCGTCGCCCAGAAAGCCGGGGAAATTGTTGATCATGTTGGCCATCGCGTCCACCATGCCGCCAAAAGCGTCGAGGCCCAAATCGGGGCTACCACGAACCAACTCCTCCCACCCCGTCGCCGGGAGGAGATGATTGAGCAGTCACGCGACTATGCCAATCGAAACCCCAAGACAGCAGTATGTTCCTTGCAGGCGCCTGCATCATCCTCACTGACAATGATGCAAAGGCATTCCTTACCACCCAAGCCGCATTCACCGGCATTCCCCTCGTTCTCTTCCTCGCCTTCGCAGCCGCCACCCTTCTTGTCTCCTTGACGACCTGCCTTTTCCTCGGTCTGCTCGTCTCTCTCAGCGTCACCTTCTTCGTCGTTGGTTTTGCTCTGCTTTTTGTTGTACCCACTGTCTTCATCGCTAGCTGCTCAGCCACCTTCATTTTCATCTGGGGCTTAGCAGGCTTCATCATCCTCCGCAAGTTCAATGAGCGTGGAGCATCAGCCAAGCCTAGCACTCGCTTTGGTGGTACGGTGAAGAACGGCAATGCTACTGGTACTGGAGGAACATATGCAGATGATCCAACAAGCTCTGGAGACGGCGGGCCAGTGAATCGAGTACATGGTGCTGTTGAATGGGAAAGGAAGTGGGCAGATGGAGTGAAGCCTGACTCTGTTGTGCTGGAAACAGACAACGCCTACCAAGCGCTGAAAGCGGCAAGTACGGAACCGAGCCTGTATGCATGGTTGCTAACCAACGACCAGGAGACCCCCGTGCCTTCAGTCTCGTTCGCGTGAGAGCAGACACCATGAATAACCAGGACGCAGTAGATTGTTCTATTCATCAGTGCACCATCGTAGTGTAATCCACTCCTTGCTCTGTAGTTATTGACCTCTAAGGGCCTTTACAATAACAACAGCAGTAAGCAAGAACATTAGATAGTCACAATAGTAGCACCGAAATTGACATTACAACACTTGTAAATGACATAGTCATCAAGTTGATTGAATCCCTATAAGTCTCAAAAAGACGTCTATATCAAGGCCGATGCGATCTGGTTCTACTGTCATCATCTCAGCTTGAAGATGGTCACCGATTCTATGTGTCGTAGAAAAATCAGGGTGGGTCCCTACCTGTTGGTGCTCCTCGTGCCTGCCTCAACCTACAGTCACTTCAAGACCCTCCAACTTGCCATCCTCACGCCACCTCTCTAACATTCGGGTAAAGTCCACTATACCTCCGCCCCAAATCACTGACTTTGCCCTCTTCATCATTGCTTCATGGTCATCCGGCGCCGGCATCTTCAGTGTTTCACCCTCCAGATTTTGATGCCCTGGCGTGCAGATAATGTTTGCGCCGAAGAGGCCCGAGCCCTTCGCAATCGCCGTGCCCCACCCTTCTTCTCCCTCAACTGAAGGCTCAATCACTACAGTTCCCCCTCTATCCAATGTCTTCCTAGAGGCAATTTCAATAATAGAAGTCGCGTGCTCAGTCATCACATCCATGACATGGGCCCAGTTTGCTGTTGCGGTACTCTGATCCATACCTAGCATGAAGAGATTGGGAAACCCGTTGGTTAGAACTCCTTGGAAAGTGCTGACGCCCTGTGTTTCCCACTTTTCTGATATTTGACGCCCATGACGACCAATAATCTCCGTGCCGGTACGCGCCCCTGGAGCCCCTCTAGCACGCGGTGAACGATACCCAGTGCTTAGAATAAGGATATCAACTGGATATTCTTGACCGTTGGCAACAACACCCTTCGTTGTGACGCTTTCGATTCCAGCCCCATCTGTGTCAACCATGTGGACATTGCTGTTGTTGAAGGCTTCCAGATACTGGTCACTAAAAGTCGGACGCTTGCACCATGTCGGGTACCAAGGCGTCATCTTTGCAGCCGTTTCTTTGTCTTTAACAATTTCCGATATCCTCGAGCGAACTCTTTCACTGTTTTTCGAATCGAGCGCGAGCAATTTACCAATATGCTCCTGCACTTTGTCACGTGTAACATTACCAAATCGAGCGTTACCGTAGAGGGAGCCGAAGCTTTTTACTTGTAACCATCCATGATTGGGGTCTTCATCTTCCAATTTCAGATTCCCAACCACCGCTTCTGCAAAGGCTTCCCTCCGAGCTCGTTGCCAGCCAGGCTTCGCGGCTATCCTCTGATGCCAATCCTCAGGATCTGTATCACGTTGACCTAGAGAGTACACCTGAGGAGGTGTGCGTTGGAATACATAGACATCCTTGGCGAACCTAGCTGTTTGTGGAACAAGCTGGATTGTAGTGGCACCTGTACCGATGATACCCACTACCTTGTTTCTGAGCTTGATCATGTCTGGCATTTCGTCATTGGCGGAGCCTCCGGTGATATCATAACTCCAACGCGTTGCATGGAGCAATGGTCCGGAAAACTGTGCCAATCCAGGTACTCTGGGTACTTTTGGGTAAGGAAGCGGACCAGTGGCAATGGTAGCCATCTCAGCATAGAACGAAAGATTTTCCTCTTGCTTTCCTTCTGGACCACGTCTAATAACTACACTAGCCTTCCAGGCCTTGATCTCGTCGTTCCATTCGAGTTTGTTGGCTTGCGTGCGGAACAAGACTCGATTAGTCAACCCAAACTTGTCGACAAGCTGCTCCAGGTACTTGCGAATCTCAGAACTGGAGGAATACTTTTTCTTAGGCATATATCCTGTGTCTTCCAAAAAGGGAATATAGCAATATGACTCAACGTCACAATGTAATCCCTAATATTGCTGTGGTCAGTTTCATCAATGCAGCTCCCAAGTAACACATAAACAGCGTACCGGGTACCGATTCCAGTACCAAGTTCCTCCAATCCCGCCAGCGGTATCAACCATAAGTATTTCTTCAGGTTTGAATCCCTTTTTGATCAGTTTGATTGACATGATAATTCCGGCTATCCCGGCTCCAATGATGAAAAACTTGACGCGACCATCGCTTTGAATGGGCAAAGGAAGTGCATCAAGTGCATCGTGATCGGCCCATATATCTTTAACAAGATTATGCAGACGTTCATTTTTGCTAAAGTGAAGCTGCTCATACTGATTCATACCGTCCTCTCTCAAGCGCTTCGCTGCTTCGAGAGCATACTTTTGCACAATTGGCGCACCGGGATCGTTCACATCGATAACAGTAGCGGTAGCCATCTTTCTTATCACACCAAGATCCGTACTGTGCTACTGAGATCAATCGAGAAGAGTCTTTGTTCACAGGGCCAACGTAATAGAAGCGCGTGGGCGAGACCGTCAATAAGGTGTTTGTTCTTCATGCAAGATAGATTTGGATAGACACGTAAGTAAACACGCGGCAAAAGCTTTATAAGTAGCTCCCCAGGAAAACCTTACCTAGTAAGACGATGGGTCGCCCTGGTCTAAAGTTTCGGGTCTCACGCTTACTGGGCAAATGTTTGGTCGACAAAGGTAACATCACAGCGTATCTTTGCGTGTGTAAGATTCACCCCGCATCAAATGATAGCGGGGAAAGAGGCAAACTTGCGGGATTTCTCATATATATCTTCTGGCCTTGAGATATATTAAGCCCGAGTGACGAATCGAACGACGAGAGATGCAAGTGCTGAGTTAAATTGTCGGACCGATGATGACGATCAACCCGTTTGGTCTGTAGCATCCTTGGTGTGAACTGATCAATGGATCATGTATATCTCGCACACGGTGGCGTTCGATCGACGACAAAGTCGAGAATACGATCACGCCACTGCGAAAGCACAAGTGCATAGTGCGCGGGTAGTTTGTCCTCGTGGTCTCCACCAAGCAACGTAGCAATGTCAAAAGTGTGCGTTGCAAATGCCCCGTGGTTGCGTATTGGACCTGCGAACGGGTTGCCAAGGTCGAAGACGTGGAAATAGGTGGCGGATACGAGGTCTGCTTGAGCGAGACTCAGCGCTGCGGCAAAGAAGCCAATGTCGCTTTCGAATAGACAGATGCGCTGGAGAGCGTCTGTGTCGTTGGCTGTGGAATTGATACCATACAAGTCTAAGAGGGCTGTACCGTTTCTAGCACCCAAGACGTCTTGAGGAATGTTGGTGAAGGCTTCAGCATGACCACTTCTACTGGTGTCTTTGCTCATCATGTTGTAGGATATCCCGCCGTCATACGTAGTCGACCCGATAATCTGCGCTTCGACCGGTTTCGCCCATTCACGCCAGTTTCGAGGAGCCAATTTTCCTTGCCTTGCTAGCTGCATACTCGGTCGCTCAAAGGGAAAATATGTACTGTTCGTATAAGGCAGGCCGACCCAGGCTAGATCCCTGATCTTGGACACATCAACATTTATCATATCGTTTGCAACAAGTTCTGCGTCTCTCTCGCTACCATCAACCTCGTTTAACGACATGGATACCTAGTTTCTTCGCCTGCTCTAGAAAGTTGGCATCGTGCTCATTCGGCGTCATGGCAGGCATCGTAACGGGCGTCCTGGAGAACATGATAGCGCGCTTGAACAGCGGCGTGTGCATAGTCTGCACTGAAATACTTTCAGCCCCTGCGCTCTGCCCGATAGCGGTAATGTTATCAACATCTCCGCCAAAGCCGCCAATGCGCATTCGTAGCCACTCGAGTGCGAGAACCTGATCGTGGATGCTGTTGTTCTCCAGGACCAGATTCCCCGCGTGGTTGGAGTGCAGAAATCCGAGTGCGCCCAGGCGATAGTTGATTGCCACAGATATGATGGGCGTGCTGCGTTGTATGGCGTGGCGGACGAGGTTCTCCGGGTTGTAGTATGGTCGGTTTGCCGAGCCTAAGAAATATGCGCCTCCGTGGATGAACATGAGAACGGGTAATTTGGCTGTAGCGCGTATTTCCGCGTTATCATCTATGAGTGTTCTGGATAGGTGTATAGAGAAATTCAAGCAATCCTCCGATTGGGACGTCAAGTAAGTTAGGTCGATAGTGCAGACCGAAAAAGGTTATCATGCTCACACCGACCCTTATTTTCTTCAAAAATTTGCCAAAATCGTAGAAACATAGAGTCTGGATGATGAGATTATTGATGTTGCTGTCATCTGCCAAAACATTATCATTGGCCAGATGTAGTTAGCCGCTTGATCTGACATCACTTGTACTACTTGCACCAACATAGCACATGTTGCATTCTGATGCTCACGACATCGAGAAACTCTAGGCTTCTTGTTCTCAGTTCAGCGGACGAATCTTGTACTATTTCCAGAAATGTCAAGAGATGGTTCCTGCTTAAGCGATACCAGAAACCATCGTGCTGGAACTACACTATCATCACTAGTAGTCCCCAATTATTAATCACAATGCATGGAGAAACAGGTTTGATGATGTGATTGCTTCTATCTTTCGTATTTGGTATCAATCTCAGGTAGTTATCTTGTAGCCCCCACTAAATGATCCGCCGGCGTTTGCGCCTTCTCCATTTGGCTAGAACTATGACAGTTAGCCTAGATTTTCACATGAGCATAGAAAAGCTTGGTACTCGAAGTGATTGAACTTAATTTTGCTTCGATTGAGATTATTCTACGTCCTCATGTAAAAAATGATCAAGCATCTCCTTCTTGCTTCGCTTGCTGTCGGGGCATCGGCTCGTCCTGCGGCCTTGTCCGATACAAAGCGCAGCAATGTCACTAACCTCAGCGTCGAAATATCTATTGCCAACGGGCTATTGGATACACCTACCGATGGTCGCCTTGTATTGATGTTTGCGCCTGCTGGAACCGATCCTCTCGACGACACCGATGTCACTTCATCACCCAACAAGATCTTCGGAAAGAACGTGTATGGGTTTGGATCGAATAAGGCCGTCACGTTGTCCGGTGGTGGTAACGACAGCACTGCAACTGGCGTCTTTGGTTGGCCAAATCCCAGTCTTGAGAACATCGACCCTGGTACCTATAGTGTACAAGCGTTCCTCACCATATACGAGACTGTGACCCGCAGCGATGGATCCATGGTCAGCCTCCGCTTTCCATGCGGCGACGGTGCGCCAAACGTCAATGGCTATGGGAGTTTGGTAACACCAGTTACAAACATCACCATATCTGGCCGCCAACAAGTTGTCCAACTGAACTTGAACAACATCACCGAAGTTCCCAACTTCAACGGGAAAGAAATCGGCGGATGCAACCAGGGCAACTATGAGGACACGAAACTTCTTAAGCATATTAAGATTCGTAGTGAGAAGCTAAGCAAGTTCTGGGGGCGAGACATGTATGTGGGCGCCAACATTGTTCTACCAGCCGGCTACAATGCCAACGACACAAAGACACGGTATCCCGTCATCTACCACCAAAACCATTGGACAGGCGGTTTTGGCGCATATAATTATGGTAAAGATGAGACCTTCACCTCCATCTGGGACAAAGGTATCATCCCAGCCACAGACAGCAAACCCGAACGGCCAGTCCCGAAATTCATCACTGTTGCCTTCCGCCACGAAGCACCCTACTACGACGACTCGTACGCCGTCAACACTGCAAACCTCGGGCCCTATGGCGACGCCCTAAATGACGAACTCCTGCCCTACATTGACCAAAGATTCAACACCATCCGCTCCCCCTACGCCCGCATTCAAGACGGCGGCTCAACCGGCGGCTGGGAATCAATCGCAAACGTAATCTACCGCCCCGACCTCTTTGGCGCCTGCTTCTCTTCCTACCCAGACTCGCTCTCCTTCTACCGTCACCAAGACATCGCTCTGTACACCGCTTCCAACGCCTACACTCGCGACGACGGCAGCAGCGTCCCCAGTATCCGGACCTTCGTCAACGGTACGCAAGTCATCGAAGCCACTGTCGCATCCGAAAACCACTGGGAACTCACCTTCGGCACTGCCTCGCGCTCCTTCAACCAGTGGGATATCTGGAACGCCGTGTTCGGTGTGCAGGGCTACAACAGTTATCCGCTTGAGCCTTGGGATAAGGTGACTGGCGAGATCTACCCCCAAGCTGTGGCATACTGGAAACAGTTCGATCTCACTGAATACATCATTGCCAATTTCAAGTCCAGCCGTAATCTCGGTATTGCGCTTGCTGACCGCCTTTTCGTCTACGTCGGCTCGTGGGATACGTATTTTCTCAATGAGGGTGTGCAGGAGTTCCGGGATAGGACGGATAAGGTGGGTGGGAAGGGTTGGGCGAATGTTACTATCTTACCGGAGAAAATACACGGGGGCAATTATCAGGATAGGAATATCTGGGATTATTTGGAGTTGGTGGAGAGGTGGGTTCAGGAGCATGCGCCGGGGGGTCTCAAGCCGCTTTGCGAAGAGTGTACGGCGCCGTCGACGCGTGGGAATGTTTGGGATGAGGTTATCAAGTACGGTGGGCGCAAGGCTGCAGTTGGGCGCCAGGCGGATCCAAGGATCCAAGGGGCTGGGATGGTGGTTGTGGGACAGCAGGTTACGGCGAGTGTTGGGCGCTGGGATCCGGGTGTCAAATTGACTGCTCAGTGGATTCTGAACAGTAAGGCTGCGGATGAAGCATTTGCTGTCCATCAGGGTGCGAATGTGACGTACACGCCAACTGCAAAGGGTCATGTGCAGTTGCTTGTTACGGGCGAGAAGCGAAACTATGCCACTGAGACAAGGAAGAGCCAGAGAGTACTTGTTGAACGTTGAGGCTTCTGGGTAGTGTGTATGTTAGTACATATGGTATTCCTGCATGTTCTTTGCAGTCAATGTTTAATATTGATCTTTTTCTCTGTAAATCCACCCCTCTCTTCTCACATGACCCTCTTCCAACGCAGTAACTATATAGTGGATGATGACTGAGTACGTATGTGAGAAACTATAAGTTCATTGCTTACTGAACGAATCGTTTGGTTGCAGTATTAACACACGTGACAGCAGTGTTTCAAGCATCTTCTTCAAGAAATCTCACAATGTATAATCATAAGTCAACAGAAGTAATTTCTTGAAAGATCATTGATTGAGAAATCCACTTATCCTGGAATGTCCTCTGCCCTAGCCATAACACCAGTCATGTGACGCCTTTGTGAGTGATGAAATAAGTTAGATAACATGATATGAAAAAAAAGAAACGCCTGCTTCTCATAACCCATTTCAAAAACCATGACGGTCTAGGATGGTGAACAGTTCTAGCCTTGGGACCCTCAGCGCACATGCCAGGAACCAGTGGATGGGATGCTGGTATTGGCATTTACTAGCACAAAGCATAAGCCTTTATCCGTTGTGCAGCAACATGTTGATAAGAAAACGAAGGCAAAATATATGATGGGCTCAAGCTTCGCCAAACAGGCGGGCAGTGATGTCGCCCATGTAAGCCTCTTCCAGCTCATAGTCCTCACCACCCATGCGATCGATGCCGACATACTCAAAGGCTTCCACGACAATCTCGACGTCGAAGCCCATTGCCACAAAGCGGTCTATTAAGTCCTTGTTGTAGCCCCTGTATGCTGCCAGTTTGGACTTTTCTTCGTTTTGCTTAGCCTGTTGGGCCTTCTTCTTGATCGAAGCAGCCGTGGCACCACCGCTGCCTTCTGCGATTTCTTTTTGTGGCGCACCGGCATACTTGACCGCCCACTCACGGGCCTTGTGTTCAAACTCGGCCGGGTTCCGGATGAGCATGCCGGCGACTTCTGCGTCTTGAGGATCCTTTGGTTCGGGTGTGCTGAGGAGAGATTGGAGCGAGATGAGGGCGGATTTGATGGTCAAGACTGGTGACCATTGCGACGATAGAGTGTCTAGACAAATGGCGCCCTGTGCTTGTTAGTTCGGGGTGGATCCAAACACCGAATCGTAGCAGCGCGGGTACTCACCGTCTGTGAACTGACGTTGGGGTGCCAGATCTTGGTGTCGAACTTCATGACGGGCGGGCGGAAGGGATACTCGCTGGGGATCTTGATGTCGACAAAGTAGGTGGCGCCCTCGTATGGGGTATCGGGTGGCCCTGTGAACTGGCCGCGCAGATGTGTAAGATCATCGCCGTTTCCTGCGGGCTCGACAATGATTTTGGAGTGCTGGTCGTTTTGGATATCGGCAATCTCCTTGGCAATGCGCCTGCTTCGGTTCGATGTAGCCATGGCAGCGTGTTGGTGGAGTGTGTGCAGTTGAAAGTGAGGCGGGGGGAAGAAAGCAGGGTAAGGCTGGAGGAAGTAGGCAGCAAGTGGGTGGTGGGTGCAACCGGGGGTATTTCTAGACGTGAGAGTCAGCCTGAGGCCCATAACGACCGGTGCGGGGAACGCATCGTGGATGCGGCTGGAGAGCGTGTCTGGCAATCTGCAGCCATGGACATATGCTGGACCAGAATGGGACAAGCAAAACACGTCACCAGCCTGTACCGTATGAGCGTGAGGGCCATGTACGTACCCAGTGGAGGGCGTAGGAAGCTCGCCGGCGGGGTTGAAGCTGGACGGCGTGGATCCTCCAGATGGTTCGAGACCCAAGCAGTAGACGGGATGGGTGTGTGTGCGTGCCTGTTTAAATGAAGGCGTTTATCAGACGAAATCTGGCGAGTCCGTTCCTGCAAAGTCTATATAAATGTAGCATGTATGGATTGGGGTTGACAGAGCTGGGGCTCCAGGCGGTATCGAGTGCAGTGACGCCACAGCGGACTAGTCCCGACCCCCGACATGCACGAGCTTCGCCATCAGCACATCAACACCTCTTACAAACATCCACGGCCTCCCAAAGCCCCCATCGCCTTCACCCCCACCACACGCGCCCGGCCATCCTATCATTGACCCCCTTCATTGGTATCCTCGCTTGATCCATTCACTTCTGCCTGAACAGGTGTCATGGTATGTAACATTGCTTCTTCCCCGAGCGGCAACCACGATATGCTGACAACGCCTAGGGTAACCAGCAGTCGAGTGCAGGAGGCGGGCCTCCAGGTGATGATAAGAGCAAGAAAGACAAGGTGTGTACCGACTGCCGTCTCAGATGTGACAGCATTTGCGAGTCGGCCATGTGGTGCCTCAACCCAGACACTGACAGCCGCCTTGTAGAAGGATAAGCCAAAGTACGAGCCCCCGCCACAACCCACGACCCGCATCGGCAGGAAGAAGAAGAAGGCCGCTGGTCCCAGTGCCGCTGCGAAGCTCCCCACCGTCTACCCGACCGCGCGATGCAAGCTACGATATCTCCGGATGCAGCGCATTCACGACCACCTGCTGCTAGAAGAGGAGTACGTTGAGAACCAGGAGCGCCTCCGCAAGGCAAAGGCCGTCAAGGAAGGAAATGCGCCCGCCGCATCAACCGCTGGAGAAGGCGCGGAAGACCGGAATGCCGACGAGCGTTCGCGTGTCGACGACATGCGAGGCAGTCCCATGGGCGTTGGCAATTTGGAGGAGCTCATCGACGACGACCATGCCATTGTCTCGAGCGCGACAGGCCCCGAATACTACGTTTCCATCATGTCATTCGTCGACAAGGATCTACTCGAGCCTGGCGCGAGCATCCTCCTGCACCACAAGTCCGTCTCGGTGGTCGGCGTGCTCACAGATGATGCCGATCCGTCCGTCTCAGTCATGAAGCTCGACAAGGCGCCCACCGAATCATACGCAGATATTGGTGGTCTTGAGTCGCAAATCCAAGAAGTACGAGAGGCCGTCGAGCTGCCTCTTCTACATCCGGAGCTGTACGAGGAGATGGGTATTAAGCCACCGAAAGGTGTCATTCTGTACGGTGCCCCCGGTACCGGAAAGACACTGCTGGCCAAGGCTGTCGCCAACCAGACGAGCGCCACGTTCCTGCGCATCGTTGGTAGTGAGCTTATCCAAAAGTACCTTGGAGACGGTCCCAGGCTAGTCCGACAGCTGTTCCAGACAGCTGCTGAGAATGCCCCCTCTATTGTCTTTATTGACGAAATCGACGCAATTGGTACCAAGCGTTACGAATCAACTTCGGGAGGTGAACGAGAAATCCAGAGAACTATGCTCGAACTGCTGAACCAGCTGGACGGTTTCGACGACCGTGGTGATGTTAAGGTCATCATGGCCACCAACAAGATTGAGACGCTAGACCCTGCCCTGATTCGTCCTGGTCGTATTGACCGAAAAATTCTCTTTGAGAACCCTGATCGTAAGTTGCGACATCTATTCAAGTATGCCAGTGCTAACCATCATCAGAAACCACCAAGAAGAAGATTTTTACTCTCCACACCTCCAAGATGTCGCTCAACGAGGACGTCGATCTTGACGAATTCATTAACCAGAAAGACGACCTCTCCGGTGCTGACGTCAAGGCTATCTGTTCCGAGGCCGGTCTCATGGCCCTACGTGAGCGCCGTATGCGTGTAAACATGGAAGACTTTAGGACTGCGAGGGAGCGTGTGCTCAAGACGAAGACTGAGGGTGAGCCTGAGGGCTTGTACTTGTAAGTTTGAGACACGAGTTATGTCTTGTATCATATTCCCAGCCTTTAGCTACACGCCAGTGTGCTGGTTGCAGTCAAAGCTTGGTTATCATAGAGCCATAATTCATGACCAATCATCTTCTGTGGTATATCTTGGTTCTGCATGACTCACGTGAGTTTCCAATGCGTATGTTATTGCTATGCTGGGAATGTTCTTGTGTCGAATAAAGGGAGTTCCCAATACCATGTACGCTAGTCGCTCCTTCCATCTCCAAGGCCTCACTCCTGACTAATCGTGCCATGTTGCGAGTCAAGCGTTGCCATAATCTCTTTTATCCCCCTGGCATTTCACTTAGCTCCCTTTGAAATCATGTGCAAATTTATACCTCTCAAACGATGGACACTCAAAGTTCCATATTGATTACGATGAAAACATCATCGATTCACTCAGATATGGCTGCAGGCGCCGATTCCAGAAGCTCAATGTCTGGTAGTGAATAGCAGTACACCCACTCTGCAGTGAAAGAACGCGAGCACAGGCTGCGGAGGGCAGGCCGGATGGCGCAATAGTGAGAGAACGGTACCAGACTGCTGCCTTGAGGTATCTATACTCATCAACAGTGCCTTTTTGGTCAGATTCACTTGTCAGCTCCTCTTTCCAGTCAACTGCAACCAGTTTCCACTAAGAGCCTTCTCCTTTTAGTTGGTGAGTTGACCGGTCGCCATCAGTGCTCGCGAATAGTCTAGCCACGATCCCAACACAATCCACTCAGCCTCTGACCATGAACATTGCGGCCCCAACTTTCAACGCGCTCAATAAGCCTCAAAAGCGCGCTCTGATCTTGCGAGATCAACTCCGCTTCGTCGACCCGCACCATTTAAATGGGTTCCTAGAAGGAGTTGGTAAAGATGAGCCACCAACGTACACAAAAGTCAATGGTGTCATCCAACCTAAACTCACACTGGTCACACTCAAAGCAGAAGCCACACATTTTGACCTTGGAAATGTGTTGCTCCCTGAGGAAAAGAATGCCATCTATAGGGTCCATCTAGTAGTCGAGAATGGCCAGATAGATCTGCGCGCCGAAGATCCGCTTCCACAGGAGGAGGATGTTCTTGACTCTGTACCAATTCATGGCTTTATTGCTAAGGGCATGGTGCCTTTATTCAGGGATAAGTTCCAAGCCATCTATTCCCAATTGAACAGAATCAATGGAGCTAGGCGGACAGCTTACAACATGGCGAACCGGGCGTCAACACCCATTCACGATGGAGAGGTATGTCATAATGGACTTCTATTTGTAGAGCTAACATATGGTCATGTGCTTAGTTATGTTGGGAAAAGATCACTAACTCTTCTTAGACTCTCACAAGGCTTAATCCTCCCAAGCGTGAGCAAAGCCAGCCAGCTTCACAATGTAAGCATATCATTCTTGTACCCAATACCAATACTAATAAACAACAGTATATCAGAGTGGATCATACCAGGTCAAGCAGCATGTTTCAAACAAGCGCAAACGCACAGGTCTTGACACCATCCCTGAAGACACAAAGAGCAGGATATTCGACACTATTCCAAGCAATATAAAAGTCAATCTCTTCAACAGCATCGTGGAAGCCGCCATTCCAAACTTTGATAACGTGATGATGGCATCCTGGAATGTCGTATCCATCTATTCCGCCTGCGGGAGCGACTTCCCCGACCTCCACCGGTCAATTGTTACCTTGAAGAGCGTACTCCAGGATTTCGACGAGGCATTCGGTAAACGCGTTGACCGAGAGACCCCCAAGTACCGGCACGATTTCTGCGGTCATACAGAGGGTGACGAGAACGGAGGTGGTGATGGGAACCGCACACCAGACGAGCATAGACATGACGGTAGAACTCGCCCCATCTCACACGCCCTTGTCAACAACGAGAATGCTGGGGGAATCGTAGGTCAACCAGAAAATCTGAATGCTGACCAACACAAATCTAAGCAGAAGGACGTCGCCACACCAAACGATGACACTGAACAAACCAGCGATGAAGAGAAACTAAACATATCATCACCCTTCCAACCACCCCGCCCTGCAAACGTCTCAGAAGGGAAAGAAGGAGAAATTACTCAAAACGAAACACAGAATCCCCGTACAAATCCCCATTCCTTTTCCTCACCAACCTCATACAACACCACCAAGTTCCCGTCCAGAAAATGCCTCAGCACCCGTTCTGCTACTCCCTACAGCAGAACTCAACCCAACATCGTGCCAAAAGATGCTCGCGCACATGTGCACAACCGCGCTACTACACTTGATAGACATCCAACTCCCTTGATGCCTTCGCCCAGAACAAGCACATTGGGTGCGGCGCCTGTGGCGAACATGGTGCCGAATGGGCAGAAAAACAGTAGCGAGAGTAACGAGAGGGATGAGGAGTGAAATCACTTACTCTGTTGATTCTGAAAGTGGAAGGAATTGAGTCTGACTACCAAAAAAAAAAGGAATACCAAAGTATGTAGTTGGCTGCACGGGAGAGGTGTACTTGCACACCATTAAGGATTACCAGGGTGAGAAAGCAGAACCGAGGAAAAGTAAAACCAGTCAACAAACCCCCCTTGAAGAACGGGTGTTTACATAGCCACATTAGTTTGGGGGAATGCAGAAAAATGTTATAACTTGCTATTTGATCCAACAATGCATACAGACAATATCGTGACTCGACCACGCAGTGCCAGTGCTTCATGCAAAAAAGAAAACGGGGGATACGTTCCAGACTTTCTTTCAACAAGAGTAAAAAAGAAAAGAAAAGAAAAGGAAAACAGGAAAAAAAGAAGATGTCGGTGTATCATCATCATGCGTTGGAGCAAGCAAAAAGTAAAAGCAAAATAAAAAAAACGCCTACTCCATGCATGATCGGGCTAACGCTCGCATCGGGAAAGCCACAAACAAAAAGCAAACAAGAAGAAAGAAGGCCGCTCATTCAAATTCCAACCTCCCCCTCCCCCTCCCCTCCCCCTCCTCGCAGTTCACCTACTCACACACCTCCTCACCCCCCTCATCATACTGACTATGAGCTCTCCTCAGCGGACTCCTCTTCTTCTTCTTCTTGCCCGCCCCACCACCAACACGCTCTCTGCCCCCCTGCGACTGAAGAAGATGATGATGATGATGCTGCTGCTGCTGCTGGGTCGACGATGACGGAGATGAAGCAGGCGAAAGGGGTTCCTGGTTCTGTTCCTCGGCTTTCAGCAGGTCCATTGCGCGGTCGACTTCTTCCCACGAGGGGCGGCTATCGCGGGTTCCGTTGGGAGTTGCGGGGCCGGATTGCGTGGCTAGGACTTGGATTCGTGCGGCTTGGTCTTCGGACATGGGGGTTGGGGGCATGTTGTCGTGGGTATGGTCGCGGACGGGCGTAGATTGCATGCTGTCGAGGCGGGGGGAGAGACTGCTGCCGCGGCGGCGAGCGATGGGGGTGTCTGGGATGGGAGAACTGCATTCGACTTGGACAGGGCTGCGTAGGCCGTCGGTTTCGGCGTCACTGTGGTGGTCACTGAGGCCGGCGGAGGTGTCGCTTTTCCACATTTTGCGGAAGGTACTGCGGCGCCGCGCCATGCCCGTTGTGTTTGGTGTACTGCGCGTTGGTGATGTCTCGAAGAAGCTTGTATACTTGTTGCCCAATTGGTGCACAATTGGGACGTCTGCGCTGGATCCCAGCGTGCCAGACCGTACAAAGAGCACCAAACCAAGGCACAAGAGTAACAGTGTGGACTGCACCACAGCCATTCTCTTCTGCCAAACAAGCTCGTCTGCCAGCAAGCTCAGCCTCGTGCCAATCTCGCCCATTTCAGACTTTTGTCTCTCCTTCATACTCTCCAGCTCAATCACTGTGCTCTGCCACAACTGATCATACATGTTGCGGAAACTCTTGAGCTCTATCATCACTGTACTATTCAAGTGATCCAAGAACTTTTCAGTCTTTGCCAGTTGCCGCTTCTCTACCTTCATAAACGCATCCCGAAGCGCACGAGACTGCTCCTCGATATACTGCAATGAGAGTGTGCTGTTGGCCTCGAGATACTGAAGGCGCTTATGTATCGATTTGAAGAATGACTCTTGAGTGGATGGAGTAGGAGCATTTGGCTGCGTAGCCGAGCCCCGTCCTTGCGACTGCGCCTGTGGAGGAACGACTGTGCCATCACTAGAAACTTTGGTCAGCGAACTACTTGAAGATCCCGAAGCTATCGATTCGGTTGAGAAAGTTGCGGGATTGTCATTGGGTGGGGCAGATGGCGAGATGACCACCACGGAGTCGGTTGTGGAGCCGTGAACTGGCGATGAGGCTTCGGCCTTTTCAGTTGTCGAAGTTGCAGTGGGGGCGTTGTTTTCTCCAGGACTTGTTACATTCAAGTCTCTCAAGTTATCCGTAGGGGTTGGCGAGGAGGCCGAACTTTGTTCTGAGACCTGTTGATTCTGGGGTACATCAGTCATTTGACCGGCTGGTTGCTCCTTTGCAACTGTAGAGGAGCCATAGGCCTCAGAGGATGGGCTGGGAGAGTCCGGTTCCGTATAAGGCTCGGGGGTACTCTTATGACTGGTTGTATCGACGACCTGTGACGCTGCGAAGCTCGCACCATCATCTTTGAAAGCTTCCATGGGTATATCCTCTGGGGGCAGCGGTCCGCTGTCCGCCGCCGGTTTTTTGACTTCGACACCGTCAGCCTCCAGATCTTCGTCATCATCAATTCCTCTCGCCTCTTCCTCTTCTTGTCTGAATTGCTCCAACATTGTAGTGCCGTGCACACGTAGTAAGCTAAGTGGACAATAGTATTCATTTCCATACTGCGTCAAAAACTCGACGCGAAGATATCTCGCCCAAATCTGTGGCTCGGTGATGAGAAAAGGCTGAATGTCGCGAGAGTTGCGTGCTTCAAATGTGCCCAGGGTCCGCCACTTTTCCATCTTGACAGGATAACGGTCTGACACGCTGACTCTAAAGTGTCGGAACATGGACGAGAAAAACTCATAGTTGGCGAGAACAACAGTATCTACCAGGATGTCGTCGCACAACTCAACTATGAGGAACTTGTTGTCGGCCGAACATATGTTCAACATGTAGCTGTCCTTGTTCTCGACCAAAATCGAAGAGGAGCTTTTGGCCTGCTTGTTAGCTTTGAGAACAGTGGCAGCGCAGTCAAAGGAGGCATAGTTGAATCGCTCTTTGCACGTCTTGCCAGCGTCTTTGCTTAGCGCCCACGATCCTGGAGCCACTTTGCCGTCACCATTCGCAACCTTTGTAGCCTCAGCATTGTGCCGGGCCTGCTGAAGACCGTTTGCTACGCCCCCATCTTCTGGGCGTCCAAACCCACTAAAATCAATCGAGATTTCGCCCTCATCGCCAAACGAGTCCAGGGCATTGACATTGACGGGTCGCCGACGAGGAGCTTGATTTGATGCTGCCAGTCTGCCCTGCCCAACATTCTCAGGTGACTGACCGGCCTTGGCCAGATTCTTCTTCTTCCATTCCTCAAAAGACAAAAAGTTTGCATTGTCAAAAGGCGAGTCTACCTCAAGCTCTAGCTCCGGCTGCGTGTCTTCGGTACCACTGCTTGGTGCACTTGGCGCCGCGCCAGTCGCGTCTGGTTGTGATGATGCGTCCGAGTGGGCGTTCTTTCTCTCCTCGTTTGCGATGCCCCCTGACCCCTCCCATATCCCAGGGGCTGGAGTTTGCAGACCCGCGATGGCCCCTCCTTCAACGCCTGTACCGTTCACGATAGCCGTCTCCCCTGGCGCTGACCAGCTCGTCTTTGCGCATTGCTGCGGTAACGTATGTGTAATGTAGTTGATGGTGCGGTACGGAGAGGTGCTCTCGCTGTCGGAGTATCTTCGTGTGGACAGGGGCGAAGGCGAGGGCGAAGGCAAAGGCAACGAAGTGGCTTGCGATGTACGGTGTGTCGTGGCACCTGAATATGCACCAGCAGCGCTTTGTTCAGCAGTCGTCGTCTCATTCGCTGCCGTCTCAGCGAGTACCGACGTGGATGCGCTGCATAGCAGCAAAAGGATAGTCCAATTATGGAGCGAGGCGCCGGTCGTGAGCATTGCTTGGGTGCATGTCTTGCGCAAGCAGGTTACAGTGCCAGGTGGCAGATGGAGGCCTGGGGTAGTTCCAGGTGGCCTGTCCGATATTAGAGATGGATGACATGGGGTAACCGCCCAAGTTTCTGGGGGGGCCGAAAGCGCAGCCACGGAGGAATGCGCGGCGTGAACAGGCGTTCGTGTCTGACACGTGTGGCTGTTTCACCGCTTCCATGGGTGAATTGCTTCAGCACAGCGCAATGTTTAGCGAAGCCAATGACGCTGCCAAGAGCACAACATGAAGGCTTAATATAGCAACCACAACCCTTGCCATCTATCTTGTCATGGGGATTTTCTCATCAGATACATACATATACGATTACTGTTTTTTGTATTCTTATGCTTCAATCATAAATCCCAAGAGCATGAGGGCTTTGTCGTGTCACATACAGTACTGAGCCCATTTCCCAACCAAGACCAAAACAAAAGGAGAGGCATGCAAAGACTCAACCAGAGGGTCGTAGCGTGGCACGCGACACGCTCATGTACAAGATTGCGTGCTGTTCGTATAATCATTCCATCAAGGTTGCCGTCCTGCACGTGATCCACAAGCAGGTTAGCAAACCAAGCCCGATTACCAGTCGTCGAGTCTATGCCCAATCATCCAACCGCCCAGCCAAAAGACATACCAGCCGCCAGCTCGGTCAGGACAGCCCATTGCTCCTCGCTATCATGCGCCATCGTCTAGTACTCGTGTGTATCGTTATGGTGATCCGTGTTGTTGCTGAAAGAAAACGCCATACGAGAGTGCAACAAGTGCCGATGTCCAAACGGTTTCGCTATACTATGGGACCAAGCGTAAAAGGGGTATGTCCGGAGAAAAAAAGAAATCCAAGTCGAGTAAGAAATGAAGGCAAACATCCAGGGGAAAATGGCCGAAGATGAGGACGTGTTAAAGGAGCCGCGGCAAAGGGCTAAGAATAAGAAGGACCAGCCTGGGTAGAGTTGGTTTAGAAGCCTTCGTTGCCTGCGCGGCAGACTTTGGCCTCGGAAACCCACTCCGAAGCAAGGACTTGGTGCGCCGTCAAACGACGGGCGGGTATAGGATCGAGAATTGAGTAAATGACGTTACGACATTGTCGCTAGATGTGTGTTAGCAACAGCTTGTCCTAGCAGCGATTTGTAAAGTTTCATGACTCACTCTTCGCAAAACCTCAATAGGTCGGTATCCCTCCTCCTGTTTTCGATCCTCGAGGTAACGGTCAAAGAACTCGTCTTCGCCCTTTTGAGCAACACGCCACAGATGGCGGCCCGTCCTCATGGCCATGTAGATGATGCCGCAAGCCCACACGTCGACAGCGCGGGGGTCAAATTCCTTATCAACGTATTCTTCAGGCGCAATGTAAGGAGCTGAACCGCACAGGCCAGCAGTCATGTGCGCTTCCTTCTCCCAGGCCATACGGAAGCATTCGCCGTTACCAAAATCGGTGATTTTTATGGAGCCGTGGGTTGTCAAGAGCAGGTTTTCGGGTTTTAAATCACGATGTGCAACACCCATCTCGTGCATGTACTCTACACCACGCATCAGCTGCTTGAAGAAGCAGTCTGCCTCGGCAACTTCGAGCTGGCCGGCAGCGAGGACGAGGGTGTACAAATCACCACCAGAGCAATACTCCATAACTTCACAATATGTGCCCTTTTCGTCCTGGAGCAGATCGAGCGTGGTAATGACGTTGGGATGTTGCATGGAGGAGGATATACAAAATTCAGATGTCAGGCGCTTTTGATATCGCTTGGCAGACTCGCCAGGTCTTTGCTTGAACTCCTTGACGGCATATAGTTGCTCTCGTTTTGAATCCTTGGGGTCCTGCTTGTGTGCGACACGAACAATACCAAAGGCTCCGCGACCAACAACCTCTTGGCACTTGCCATACTTTTGGACCAACGTCTGGGGGAGGGCGTTGACGGCATTCTTCTGCTCTGCAAGCTTCTCCTTTTCGTTGCGCATAACATCGACCCAGTTGGACATGAGACTCAGCGGCTGGTCCTCTGGAGCTTCACCCTTCTTCTTGCCCAGCATCAAGTTTTGGAACATGTCTGAGAGTTTCTCCTGACGCTTGGCAACCTTGAGGTGGTGTTCGTGGGAGCCGTCTTCGTTGAGCCAGAAGCGCTTGTAGGGCGCCGTGGGGCCATCCTTTTTGTTGACGGAGCCCTGGCGCACTGGTGGGGGGCGGCCGTTGGCAGTCGCGCCATTTGTGGCTTTGACGTCGCCGTTCTTGTCGGCGTTGGTAGAGCTCTTGATACCCATCATGCTGCTGATGCGCGACGTCATGGTGGGCTTCTTGGGTTTGAGCAGCGCCTCGGCGGCAGCTTGCACACTACTTGCGCCGGAGTGGCTCACGGTGGGAGTAGGACTCGCTGGAGCGATAGGGCTCACGGCCTGTGGAAGAGCCAGAAGTGTATCTGGTTGGGAATGGACCGACGATGCAGTTGAGGCCGAGGCCGGGGGAGAGGCGGCGGGTTTGGCCGTCGTGGTGGGCGGGTTGGTGGTGGTAGGGGCCGCCATGGTGGTACCTCGTTGTCTGGTGGAGACGAGGAATGCGCGACAGGGCTCGGAGGTTAAGGGTGGGGGGCAGGCGGGAGTTCACTGGCAGCAGTGGCGGCGGCGGCGGCGGTAGTAGTGGGAGTGGTAGTGGGAACAGTAGCAGCAGAAGCAGTAGTAGCAGCAGTGGTTTGGAGACGCAGGTGTCTCGCGGGCAAGAAGCCCAGGGTGAGTTATTGCACGGCGGTCAAAACGGCGTATCTTCGTCGACGGTGGGTGGTGGAGACAAGGTTCGGCAGGTGCGCGTGAGGGGTCTGGAGGCGCAAAAACACGGTGGCGGCGTGGTCGGGCGGCCGGGGTGGGCGTCGTGTGAAGAGCAGGAGTGTACGTATGAAGCAAGGCGACGATGGTCAAGGGCGGCTTGGAGCGTGGGAGGTCAAGGGCGTCTTTGAATTTGCTTGCGCTCTCACGGGGCACTGGGGAGCCACACAGGGTGGCTGTGCAGCAGATGATGTCGATGGGTGGACGTTGGCCGACGGATCCGCGACTTGCGCACCAACAAAGCCTGCAGCGCAGCAAGTAGCAGGCTCGGCGACACTTTTCAGCAAGAAGAAGGAAAAACCAGCTGGCAGAACTGGGACGAGTGGCGGGTCAAATATTGCCTTTGTGCGAGGGGCACACCCATGGTTGATGGTGCACTGCCCGGCCGCCGTGTACGGCTTTCTAGATGAGGCCTGGCTTGCGGGATTTTCGACATGTTTTATTTTGTACTTACGCCAGTGGTTGCGAGAGCCAGTTGACCGCTGCGTGAGATTTGCAGCGGCCGCCAGATGCGGGCTATGGGCCATGGGCCATTGCTATGGGCCATTGGCCAAGTCACTGGGTCGCTGGGCCGTGGCCGACGGCATCTGAAGTGAAGCCCACGGCGACGCATATTGTTAACCTCATACTTGTGGACCGCGGATGGCCCGCCGAAAACTCTGCCAAGTGCTGGGCTGGCCCACGCAATTAAGGGTCGAGAGAGCCAGCTGCATCTGTCCAGATTGCGACTACAGGTGGTGATGGAGACAAGCAAGTAGCCACGCACGCACAGTGACGCCACTGGCCTTCCCATGTCGCCGTCATCGTCGCCATCGTCACCATCATGACAAGCACGGCCAAGCACGAGTGGAATTCAGGCACAACCGCCGCGTCGTGAAGTCCGGGTTCGTCCGATGGCTATTGGCAGTAATTCGGCCTGGATGTGCAGTACAGATGACGTGCCGACAATGCCACTTGGTTAGACATTACAAATTACTTTAGGCCACAAGCAGCCCAAGTCTGCTTCCAACCCGCGCCCGTGTCTACACCAACACACGGGACCCTGCTGTCTGATACACTCGCTCTCTTTCTCCATTAGTCTTCCTTCTTGGACACGCAGCCATGCAGCCATGCAGCCATGCAGACAACCACGGAGTCGCCTTTGCCCAAGCATCCGCCATTGCCATGGCACGCGCCCAGCCAAGCGAGGGGCTGTACGATTAGCAACCCCCGCATCTCAAGGGCGTCGACATGCACACCGCATTTCGCTACACAACCCAGTGCCAGTGCCAGTGCCAGTGCCAGCCCCCCAGCCCACAGGGCCTGTCCACACGACAGAGCCGTTGGTAATAAACAACTGTCCGCCACCCCACCACCACGGCCTGACCACTCAACACGCTCACCCGGGGGCCGGCAACTCTGCACGGCCTCTTAGACAAGTTGCGACGGGCGACGGGAGTCCTTGCATGCAGCTTGCCTTGCGCACGGCCCTGTTGATGCTTCCGTCGCCTTGGTAAGAACCGTTGTCTTGGGGCGCTGCAACGTGACCGGCCCGGCCCAGCCAATGCCACAGTCAAGTACATACATCCATACATACATACATACACTACTCAACATACAGTAAGGACCTCGTGTGCGTTTGTCAGCCGTCGCCAGCGTGACGGAAAGAGGAAAAAAACTGGTCATGGCCGCGTCCAGCCGGCACGCCTGAGACACGGCTGGCAGCTGGTCGATGGGTGCCTTTTTATTTTTTTGCCTCGGCATGAGGCATAAGGCGCTTGTTCCTTCTGCACTCGGCCTTCATGTTTGGCTTCCATTTCGCTACTCAACCATCGGCTGTTGTGTACCAATCGCTCTTTCCGTGATGACAAACACCCGAACCACCCAACAAGTTTTTTTCCTTCTTCTTCTTCTTCTTCTTGTCATCTGTCGTATGTACACACCATGCAAGCCATGGTCCCTCGGCTACCTTCACATCCAACTCACGCATAGCCGCCCACCCCCACTACAATTACCCGATCCCATCCCATCCTCGGCGTTTAACATTGCCTGGACCCCGTTCCAAGACACCCAAGCCCTGGGCCCATCCTTTACCCTTTGTGTATTGTAACACCCGTCCGTTCCCAAAAAAAGCTTGCCTCACTTTTCTGCTCACGGCACTTGCACCCGAAAGGTGCAGGCAGATTGGGGATCCCGGTGGAGTGGGTTAAAAAAAAACCCGTGCCCGCGTATAAGTACGCAGTGGGCCGATTGGCCTGCAAGTGTACAAAAACGGATGGTGGACGTGATTGGTTAGACGAACACATCCCATACAGAGTGTTGGATACTCATACTGTAGTACAGGGCAAAAGTTATGTGCAGTGGGGGCGCTAAGCGTGCTAATCTGGTATAATTCTGGATAGATTTTTACTTTATTTAGTATAGTATCATTTCTCTTGTTCTTAAAACGCGTATTAGGTAGCTTGTTATCTTACAACCTTAATACTACATAATATAGACCCCCTAAAGACGCTAACGCGTCAGCATAGTGTTACAAGTAACAAGAAGGATTCTCTCCTTGACGCGGGATGACGAGGTTAAAGACCAACCACGTCCACGTCAGAAGGTAACGACCATCGCGG